CATAGTTTTGATTTACATTACACATTTTGTCTTTATTAAATAAATAAATATTATCTGTGTTTTGATTTGTCTTAATATTTGCACCAGGAACTGCTTGCCCAACACCTGATATCACTTCAGATTTGTTTTCAGTGTTTACCATGTCACTCATGTGATTACTGTGATTTACTAAATCTTTATTTTGTTCCATCATTTTATAAATGGTAGAAATATTTTTCTTGTTTTCATGTACATCATCTTCAATTTGGCTTATACGACCTTTATAGAAGAAATTTCATCTTCAAAATCTCTTTTTATCTGATTAACAGCACAGATAACTTCTTTTTGACAATTAGAGAAATCATGGGTTATCTCCCCTAATTGGTCATGGAATAAACTTTTAAGGTTTTTTAATTCATTAACAAATAAATAGTGTTCTTTGTCATGGCTTATTGTCTGCCTTGCACATTCAACACTATCAACCTTCTGTTCATCTAAAGGAATGGTTATTTCCCCATCATTTTCCTCTTTGAAAGAATGATTAATAGCTATAATTACTTCTCCAGAATCATCCATAATGTACTAAAATTTTAATGCAACTAATTCAATTTAGATTTTTTATAAAAATTTAGTGAAACAGTTTAACATCAATCAAATATACTAAAGCTTTTTCAGTATAATTTTAAATAATCATTTCAACCACCAAATTCAAAGTTAAATAGAATCTCACTTCTGACACCAATGTAACGATTTCGCCCCTTAAACCGAGTGGATAAGATTATTTAGAATAAGAGGCTTGATCGAATATAATTTGCATGGATCCTTTGAGTTGGTATAAAGTTGAAATAATAACTAAGCCAGGTATAACTTTCAGATGTACTTTATGTAGCATCTATATAATCAAATGTTTACAATTCATCACAAACTATACATTTACATTTATATACAACATGCCGTAATCATCCAATTTATAGGTCAGGAAGATTGACTTGAAATTACATGAAGGGTTGATTGCCTCCCGTAGGTTAATTTGGTAGAAGGTTAAACTTTTCAACCTTCCGTTACCGATAGTATAAAATACTTATAAGGATTGATTTAATAAAATATTCATTTATCTTATTTCTTTCTGTTAAAAATGAAAGTAGATTTCCAGAAAACCTCTCTCATATTATCATAACGATAGAAGGTTGACTAAGTGGAACGACGGTTGACTAAGTGGAACGACGGTTGACGGGACTTTCCCGTAGGTTGAAGGTTGACTTGTGCAAAATAAACAATAGCCATGTGTTAGAAAGATTTAGTTTCTTCTTAAAACATTTATAACCTGCGTACCAGACTTAAGGTTGACCGTGGCTCAGACATTTTTACAAGGTTGACTAAATATAACAGACTGACTAAATATAAAGACTAGGCTTATTTATGACTGCTCTTACAGACGATGAGATTATATCTGAAGTTCGTTTTGTAAAGCTTCTATTTATAATTTATGGGTCAGTAGATCAACCAATCAAAACGTTTGTTATGTAAACAAGCAATCTCGTGTAATAAACCGCCAATACACAACTAATATGGCTGCTCGAGTAAATAGATTATGGCACTGTTGGTATTTAGATGATTACGGCTAAAACATTACTTTATTATATTAAGAAAATAAGTAAGTTAAAAAGGTAAACACATTCCCACATCATCTATCATAAACGTACCTGCCAACCAATCGTAAATATTCTGTACGAGGTGAAATTCCATCGTAAAAACAGCTGATTCGTAAAATTACTACTATAAATTATGGACAACACGAGATCCATTAATTAAATCATACAATTACTAAATTGTAACAATTAACACCATGTGAAAGGGTAGTGAGTATTTTACTACTGAAAAAAGGAAAGTTGGCAATTTTTTTTTATATTGTCTTGATTGTCATAATTCCGTGAAAGAATATCATAGAAATATGAAGGGTTCGTGTTGCTCGGTCTTTAGTTTTCTAAGTTGTTCTTTGTATACTTTTGTTTGACGTTTGGTCTTTTTCTCTTTTTTTGCGATGGCGTTGTCAGTTTATTTTCGACATATGAGTTAAAATACCCCTTAGGTATGTTTCGCCTATTTTTATTTAAACTAAATTTCTCGACAAGATTCTTCTCATTTATTTGGTCTCAGGGAAAGTTTTGTATAAATATGATTCAGTACAATCAAAGTTTTTCTCTTCTTGCAATAACGATACATTTATTCATTTACTAGTGAGTTAAGTAAAATAACAATTCAGATAAAAAAAACTTTGTAATGGGCATGATGGGTAAATTATCAAAGCATAGATAAAAGTAGAAATCGTTTATGTATGCATTGTAGGACATTTTATATGATTTCTATTGGTTTCCATCACAGAATATTTTACTGGTTGTTTTTGATAATATAATATTGTATTTGAAAATAAATCTTAGTTTTTAAAATCAATATTAACAATTTAAAAAAAGTAATTTCGCTTGTTTAAAAAGTCATATCTAACAATGGTAAACCTCTTACTCACAAACATTGAAATGGCTGGGATTGCGTGTTATCTAAAGCTACCTTTAAACTTTCTTTATTACTTCAAATATGTTTCCACTTTTCCGATCAACGAAAGTATCAAATGACGTCAAACAAAGATATACACATTTTAGGTTAAGCCAGGCAAGATTAAACTTGTAAGATATACATTTTATTTCATACAAGTCGATTGCATGTATTGTGAACGTGATCATTTAGAACTCTTTGTGAATGAGCATCATTGTAATGAAAGGTAAGAAATTAGGTTTATTTGAGTCATTTCTGCGCATTTCTTTTTATCCTTTTTTTTTTTTTAATTAGAAGATATATTTTTGCTGTCAAGTGACATTCAATAATACAATTGTTGATAAAAAATGAAATTGTTGGATATAATTCAATGTAACAGAAGCCCAATGATATAAAAGCGAAATGATATTTAGGTGAAGCTTACTGTCGTCAACAATAAACAAGTGTCTTTACAGCCAGGTAGCTATAAAACTAGGTTCACTCACCATTTCTTGTTGATACGGATATTTTTTATTTAGATATGATGCGATATTTTTCGAAAATTATTTGAAACAAGGGAATGTATTGGTCTTATGCAAACCTCGTACTTTTTGGTTGATCAGCTCTTCAACGATTGTACAAGGTTTGGTCTTAAAAATATTTTGGTCTCGATTACCACTGATGAGACATTTATTATCGTAATGCGCATCTACTGTAGTACAATTGGTAACGAAAATGTAATTCTCATCTTAAATTGATATTTGACCTTCAAATTTTGGCATGGTCAAAGATCAGTTTGAAGTTTTAAATATTTGACTTTGATAATAACTCATATTGGTCAGTTCATTCTACATATGACTTGGAAAAGGTAAATCGGTACAGATCTTGTGTAAACCGGAAGTAGCAATTTATATCACAAGACACTTTAAATAGCATTGCGTACACCAAATGTAATACTTCCATTACTTCAAAGGAAAATACATATAAACCATATGGTTGTGGAATCATTGAACAGTAAGCACCGGAAAGGACTTTTTAACATGTTTTCTGTAGAAGAAAATTACTTGTTTTGTATTTAATTCTTGGGGGAATATTTGTGTAAAAATACATTTAAACCTAAATTATCAACATGTGAGAAGGAAAGATTTTTAATTTCAAATAAAGTTTTTTTCTCTTTATATTAAACGAAGATTTGTAGAAATAATAAAGTAATTTATGTAATATGTTTCCAGTCCATTATCATGATTATGTTGTCATTTAGATCTAGTGAATATGCAGTTGGAATTTAGTCTTTTTCGAAAACAATGCGACTTTCAAACTGTTTTTTGTTTTGTTTATTTCGTCCCTTTGTCTTGTGTACAGGTTCAATTATATAAACTTTCGTATTATGTTTGTGTTTATTTGGAGGTTAATTAACTATATATTTAAAATGTTTGTATTCGAAAGCGGTACCAATGTCATGGCAGGTTTCTTCTACACACTGATAACCACATACATAGATATAGGAAGATGTGGTTATGCATAGTTTTTACCTAAAGATAGATAACAAATCAAATCAATGTTATTGTCATTAAAAATTTACAATATGTTTGTGGCAATACAAATTTAAACAATCAATAAACAACAAAATAAAAACAAAACAGTATACAAAAAAAAAACAACGTAAGTGATAAATTTACAATATTACACTATTCAATATATATATAGCCATGTTACAATGAGACCTCTGCCTTCAGTTCTAATGACTTTTTAAAAAAGAAGCCAATAATTCTGACATGTCTAAAGGAAGCGGGGTTTTATATATAAAATAATTTTTGTTCATCAGGGAAATGAATGAAATGTTCATCACCTAATTTGTATATCATTATATAGATTTTGTCTGATATTTTTGTTTACCTTGCAATTCAGAATATCAAAGACGTTTTGTTTTATAATCCCTCTGTTGCGTATATAACAAACAACAATGAAAAATATACTCAAATTCACTATACGTCATGGTTTAATCCAAGAACCAACATAAACAAATACTGGCTAGTATCAAAAATTCTCTCCACAAATTCTCTTTTACGTACATGCATATCATTTGCGAATGACCGTTGTTATGTTGAGCACAAACTATAAATAACATAAATGGTTTATTTCACTTCCTTGAATGAGTCTCTAAATAAGTTCTTTTGTATAGAAGGCATTAAAAAGAGAAAAACTGTTTCAAAGTTATCCTGAAATCTTTGTTTCTCCTAACCCAGTCCAAAGATATTTCTAAAAAAATCCGTATGTTTTTGTCAAATTAATTTTAAACCGTTTAGTTCGTTTAAACCAGATTTAGAATAGCTATAAACCTCCTAATTGTTCAAAGCTTTCATTTTCTAATCAATCATGTAATAAAAGTTAAGTAACCCTAAAGGGAATGACCTATATATCTGCATAGTCAAACGGACACAGCGTTCAAATTTATATTAAAAAGTACATATTGATTTTCATTTTACAGGTTGACTAGATAGTCGGAAAGGTTCTAAAGCGATAACATAAAATTCATCAAAATGTCAAAGTCAGATAAAATAAAATCACTGGAATTTTACGCGTATCTTTGCAAGAAAGTGGGATCAGAAGATATTGTAAGGTCAAGGCGGTTGATATATACAATAGGAGATATTGCCATGGATAATAATTTTCCACGAATAAGCAGTGGTAGTAAAGGGGAAGGACTCAATTTTAAAGGAAGTGACACTGATTTGATGTTTATTGAACCTGACTATAGAGTATACGAATCGGTAAGTGATGTTACTGATTGTCTGAAAGTCATATTGATCATGGACACCGATGAAACGCCACCATGCTTCACATACCTTCATATATTAACTAGACATGGAGTTTTGTATGCGCTTACTGAACAAATGTGGCAACAAAAAAACGGCAAGATGCTGCTTTCAAGTGAGCTTTTCAAAACATATCGTTTGAGACAATTAGTATTAACAAAACCAATGTTAAAGAATCTTCATGGTCCATGTATATCGGATGATTTAGAACAGCTTGATGTTGCATATTGCATCAAATGTGAAAAATGGATATCACAAGCGCAACCATGGGTCAGTAGACCACGTACAGAATGGCCATCATCTGATCTTATTTCACAAATAACATCATTAGGCGTCTTATTTGTCCCCATCGGTTGCAAAGGATCCAAGAATGAAAATTTTGAATGGAGGATATCGTTTTCAGTCGCAGAAAAGATGTTGATTTTTTCATTTTGTCATACCCAGTTACTGTGCTATGCTTTATTGAAAATCTTGCTGAAAGAAATAATAGAGAAGTTTCCAGGTTTAAAAGGGTTATTGTGCTCATATTTCCTAAAAACTTTAATGTTTTGGATATCTGAAGAATTAGATCCGCCTATTTGGCGTCCAGACAACATTATTCCATGTTTTATGGCATGCCTACAGAAACTGTTATACTGTGTAGAATATTTAACACTATTACACTATTTTATTCCTAACAAAAATCTTTTCTATTCCCGGTTCGACACAAGTAACAAAACGAAATTGGTCGGTCTTCTTCAGAATGTGTATCAGCAAGGCATTCAATGTTTTTCATTTTCAGAAACTCTCCATGATTACTCGAGTTTTTCTTGTAATATTAATAGGCCTTTAAGCATAAAAACCATACTAGCACAAGAAACAATTCATCTTTTTTCGTCTGGAAGAGCGAAAGGGAATATTTACAGATTGATGAAGAACATTCTACATCATTCTAAAAGTTGTTTGTCGAGAAGCATATTTAACTTATTTTTTGCAGATGCACACCATTTCGTATCTGAGATACCAAATATGCATTGCAGGCCTACCAACAAACTACAATACTTCAAATACAAACATTACCTTAGTCAATTATTGATTGGTGTTAATTCAGATGCAATATCAGGATGGTTGCTGTTAGCAACATTCTTATATAGTCATAAACATTTTCTAGAAGCATTAATCATAACAGATCATGTCATGTCAAAGTTCACAGACAAAACAATTCCTGTTCCGGTTGAAACATCTTGTGATATCGTTGTATTTCATGAATTACATGATTATGTAATGGAATTGATGCAACATGAAAAGACAATCACTGTAGTAAAAAACTTAACAAATCTTGATATCAACCTTGATTCCAAATCATTGGCGATTTTACCAGAATTACAACAGGACGCTAAGGACCCTTTTACAGTATATACTTGCAAACCAATGGCGCATTTCATTCGCTTTTTGAGCTATTACTATCTTGAAAATATTGATTCATGTGAAGATGCATTCATGAGACTATTACGGGAATACTTCGATAACTTTTCACACGCGGATAACAGGCAAAGCTGTTCTGTGCGTATGGTTAAAATGTTCGAGTTATTTCATACAATGTATTTCCTGGGAATTTCTGCACAGATGATGGGAGAAAGGGATTTGGCAAAATGTTGCTTTCGGTATATAGCTATAGGCGATATCTATAATTACACTTCTGCAGCATCAAGACTGTCAAAACTCATTTGAAATATTTAATTCTAAAGTCATTAAGGATATTGATTTTCCTACCTCAAACGTGTGATAGAAATAAACAATTGATTTTGTAAACATTATTCCACCGTATATAAACAGTTACATACGATTTTCTTATATGTTGGACGGTCATCACTTAAATCTTCTAAAATATGGTTTTCAAGATTGAAAAATAAGGTCATCACAGTTTGGCAAAATTTTATAATTCTAGCTAGATTGTAAACAAATATCGAATGATTCTTTTACCTTTATTTTTAACTTTTAGTTTGGGAGGTTTAAGAAACATCACGTAAATCTTCTAAAATATGGTTTTCAAGATTGAAAAATAAGGTCATCACAGTTTGGCAAAATTTTATAATTCTAGCTAGATTATAAACAAATATCGAATGATTCTTTTACCTCTATTTTCAACTTTTAGTTTTGGAGGTTTAAGAATTGTTCACTTGCAAATAAATAATTCGACATCATTGAATCCGCATCCATGTGACCTTCAATTTAACCGCTAAAATGGAAATGGGTTACAAATGTATTCAGCTATTAGAAGGAAAAGAAAGTCAACATTGAAAGTGAAACATGGATGAACCATTTGGTAGACTGATTCGATCCACAAAAAAAATCATTCTTATACAGGCAAAAACGATAATGAACATTTCTATTAAAACTACAATATGAAATCAATCAGACCTAGAAAAAACAATTGCACATGATCACTATCTATCTATATTTATGTTTTTATCAGGTTATAAGACTTTCGGCAGTCTTCGGAAGTATTCTAGGTGGTTAATAAGATGACGTCTATACAAAAATACACACTAAATGCTGATACACATGATCAAGCTAATGCATTGCTTATTGTTTATTGCTGTTGAAACCTGCAGAAAGCCCGAATTTTGCACAGTTATTTTCAATTGATAATATAAAAATAAGAAGATATGGTATGATTGCCAATAAGACCACTCTCCACAAAAGATCAAATGAAATAGAAATTGATAACATGGGTCACCGACAGCCTTCAACAATGAGTAAAACCTAAACTGCATAGTCAGCTATAAAAGACCCCGAAAAGCAACAACCGATAACCACTGAATTGATACAGCTCCTGACTTGGGACAGGCACATACAGTATGTGGCGGGGTTAAACTCCTTTGAAGGTGCCAGGAATTTGTTATATTTGTGGGAAAGTGTTTTCTTCAGTTGAGACAGCTTTACAGCACAGTCATTTCATTCACAAGAAAGAAAACATTCATTTCGTTACCACAAATTACTTAAAACTTTTACTAAATTCTTCCAGCGATATAAAGATTTGGTTTTGAAGTTTGGTTGTACCTGTATAAACTTATTGCAAACGGGATAGAACATCCTCATTTTTACGGAGATCTTGTTTACCGTGCCCGGAAATTTAGAAACGATCCTTGAAAAATTATCGATCCTTTAAAGAAACTTATTCTAAAAGGTTACCAATTCAACAATGTAATTAGATCTTTGAATATTATTTTTATTGGTATTAATATTGATTTTGTTATAAGTAAATTGAAAGCAAACTAAATATTATTGTTATATACATAAGCACTTTAATGGATCTACAATCTGTGGATACCTGTATCTTGGCCTTGCACAAGGTCATGTTTTTCTCTGACTGTTTATAACGTCTTTACACTAAATCCATTGGATGTTGGATGTGTACTGATTGATAATTTAGTCTAAGATGCATGATTTTTTTATTAGTTGTTATTGGCTTTGAACTAGCTGTCAGTAACTGCGAGTATTCTCATATCTGTACGTAGTGTCTTTTTGTTGTTGGGATGTACAAATACCCGCCCACGTCCACTCTGTGTTTTTGTTAGATGTATTTCTATTTGTATCCATCTGATGATATCAACTGATCTTTATAGTTCGTTCTTATTTTGTACTGTTACACCACTGTGCCAGGTTAGGGGTAGGGTTGGATCCCGCTTACATGTTTGACCCCACCACATTCTGTATGAATGTGCATGTCCCAAGTCAGGAGCCTGTAATTCGGTTGTTGTCGTTTGTTGCTGTGTTACATATTTGGTTTTCGTTCATTTTTTTGTTCATTAAGTAGGCCGTAAGTTTTCTCGTTTTAATTGTTCAACATTTGTCATTTCGGGGCCTTTTATAGCTAACTATCAGTATGGGCTTTTGTTCATTGTTGAAGGCCGTACGGTGACCTATAGTTGTTAATTTCCGTGGTCTCTTGTTAAGAGTTGTCTCATTGACAATCATACCACATCTTGTTTTTTTTATATTCATGTAGAGTTTGTCAAAAAATATTTAGATTAAAAAGTGCTTTGCATATCCACATGAGACTTCATCAAGACTTTGTTTTTGATGTATGTGGAATGTCGTCCAAGACGGCACAAGGATTGCGAATGCATCGGCTTCGGTACTATGACAGAGTAAGGTATAAGTGTGATCACTGTAGCAGAAAGTTCAAATGTTTATGGGGCAAAAGTATCATCATCTGAAAGAACACAGAGAAATCGCTGAGCAGGCAGGAGTAAAAATTTAGCCATGCAAGTTCTGCGATCGTATTTCATCAAGTCAGCAGGAATACTTACGACACGAAAGTTCTCACATTGATAATAAGATACATTATTGTGACCTCTGCAATAATAGATTTCCAACAATTTCATTGCTGAATGAACACAGAAAGTCACATTTTGGCAGACAGAAGAATTACATGTGCAAAATCTGCTCATTCAAGGCAAGCTCGCCATATAAACTAAGGCGTCATCTTGCCTCCACAAAACATCTTGAAAAATGCACAACTCAAGGTTATAATTCAATAGCAACCATGAACATGGATGATCCCAATATTGTCAAAATACCGATTAGCGAGAAAGGCATTTGTCTGAAAGCGATGTCAAAAACGAGAATGAGAATCTATTGACAGACCAAACAAACACGGTTTCAATAGAAACAGAACAAGAATTACTTAATCAGGTTGATTTGTCATTAGGAGATGACGAGAGTTCACAGACAGAAGATAGTGTCGTAGAGGTTAAATATGTAGAAATTCCATACAGCATAGGAGAAGGCTCTCATATTATTTACACAGAGGACAATAATTTGGTCTATAGAGTTATTGAAGATGGTGAAACAGGCAGTTTAGTTGAAGGAGCAAATACTATTATTTACGATCCCTCGATATATCAGGCTGTGGAATCCATTTTGAAACTACAACAAAGTTCCCAAACGAATTTATATTTCATTGTTGTGAAGATAATTGTTAGTAATAAGCCTACAGTATTGGATTTTCCAATTTTGTTTATTTTCTATTTGTACAATTTGGCAATTGCCAATCCGACCACTGGGCAAGAAAACTTGTAAATTTGGCCTCAAAAGATGTTTATGAATTTAAGGTTTCTAGTACGTAGGGTGCAAATTACACAACTAAGATGTATTTATTTCCATCTCCCTAAGGGTCAACTAATACTATCCTTCAAATAGAATATATTGCAGTCATTCATTCATTTGTTATTTCGTTGGAGAGATCTAATAATCATTTCAATTACATGCATATATATACATATTTTGTACTTGACTGATCTTTCAAAAAACCACCTTAAAGAATAAGAACAGTCATCTTTTGTTCCTTTGAAATAATATTTTAAAGATCCCTGTCCTGGTAAATTGTTTTTATGAATATCAGGGGGAAAATTTGATTGCATTTTCTGGGATTAGGTCAGTGCAAGAACCTCCTCATTCATTTCCCTAGAAACCTTATCATGTATGCATGGCTGTAACATGGATTTGTTTTATTTATTGTTGATTTGAAATGCATATATATATATATATTAATGTTTTTATTAAACTATTTACTTCAATGTTATAATTTGATGAATTTCTCTTTCAATGTTTTTCAATTTTATAGCATGCTAACTTATGATTTGCATATGAATTTTAGTGAATTTTAGAATACCACTGATATTATAAACAAAGAAGATAATTTCATGAATAAGATAGTTGTTTGTTTCTACCAGCTGAAAAAAAAGGATAATAAAAATACCAAATTCAAAGGCAAATTTATGATAGGGAAGTCCATGAAAACTGACAAAATGAATTGCTACCTATCAACAGAACAAGTAAAAAACAACTGCCATATTCCTGACCTGGTACAGGCATTTTCCACAGAAATGGTAGGTAAAGATCACTAATTTCAATGATAAAAGTTAAATGTCTATAGCTTGATTTGTACCCAATGATGAATTACCATTCAAAACTAGCAACGTTACTAAAAAACTCAGATTATGATGTTGGTGTACATGTCCTCTTATTAAAAATGGCTGTCATATGTCGAATGAAGATACAATCGAGAATTGAAATGGACAATGTGTCAGAGTAGACAACAGCCAATGACACCAATGAGATTTCAACGCAGTGAGATAGTCAGTTTTCCTACTTATAAACCATCAATTTGATGTTTCATATTGTAAACTATCTTACCGATGCCTTTACGAGTTGATTGACCATGCTGACTGTTATGGAATATACATTTCACAGATGACTACGGATATGTTCCAATTGTCCTATTAGGCTTACAAATGTATCACAGGGTTTAAACTAGCATGAGCAACACGACGGGTACTGCATATGGAGCTTCTTCTTACCCTTCCGGAGAACCTGAGATATCCACAATTTTTGATGAGGATCGAGTTGCTCATTCTTTGGTTTTCTATGTTGTGTTATGTGTACTGTTTTTGTCTATTAGACTGTTTCTTTTTTAGCCAGGGCGATGAATGGTTTTTTTCGACTTTTATCCATTTGACATCTTTCGCCTCCATTTAAAACAATTTTGTGAAAAGATCAATTACATTACCTAAAGTTTCCTGAAAGGATCAAATGATTGTTCACTACACCAGCTGGCCCATTTTCGACTGAGCTTTTGTTTGAAATGTTGGGTCCTGGTCTTCATCCTTTTTCATGCAACTCTACAGCCGCTTGTGATAGTCCTTTGGTAGGACTTTGTCCTC